TTTAAAGAGTAGTTTGAGGGGCAACACAAATCTTTGATCATCACAGGAGAAGATCTGGGTTTGACCCCTCCACCAACTCATGTGTGACCAAAGTCAAGAGGGGTACAGCAACCTAGAGACTCCAGTCTTTATGAGTTAAGTACGGATTTGAAAACTGGTGTCAGTAGCAGGGCACTGGGGCCTCCTCTGCATTGTCAATCGTGAGAGGAGCTATGGGAACAGTCTGTGGTTTGGATGAGGATTACGTTGAGCTGAGATGCTCTGTGCCCATATGAAACCTGAAAAAGGGTATAAAGTGGCTTATAAATTTTCCAGGTCAGGTGTTCTCTGGAGGAGCAGGCTGTGTCTCAGCACAGGGCAAGTACAGGGAGCAGTGAAAATCACAATGTGAACAGGTCTATTGTGGGTGCTATGAGATGTTCCTCCAAGAGGGCAGAGTTAAGGTTGTGAAGGTGTTTCACTTAATTCTGCAATGTCGAGTTTTCCAAAGCTTGAGTTTTGTTGAACTTGACATTGTGGCTGGGAACGAGCCTTCACCGGGGAAATTCCAGGCTATGTAAGTGAAGTTTTTTGAGCCAAATGCAGCTTGGTTTGACGTGAATAATTAATACTGAGAAGACGACCTTATTGGATAGAATTAGGGAGATAAAGAGACCAATCGGTTCAAAAGAGGATTTTTCACTTAATAACATAGGTCATTAGGCTCCAGTGGGCTAAGAAGGCAAAATGTCTGAGCCAGCTAGGATAGGAAGGAGAATCACAGGGAACTATTTACTACAAGCTAGAATAACGGACAGGAAATGTAGCCATAAAGGAGCATTCCAAGTATAGGGCTACCCTGCCTTAGCTAGAACTAGTCTGTCTTGTCTACAGTGTGGATTTCTGGCCTGTCTCAAGTCTGGTGCAACAAAGCGCACAAGCAAGACTTGAGAGTCAGGGATTGTTTTGCATAATGATGTAGATTAAGTCTGAGGCTTCTCAGAAAAAGTACCACCCGTACAAGGCCGCTTGTCTCGTGTTCTTGCTGTGGTCTCGCCTACCATAGAATCATAGAACCACAGGGTACGTCTAGACTACACGGCTCCGTCGACGGAGCCATATAGATTTGTTTGTTCGGCAAAGGGAAACGAAGACGCGATTTAAATAATCGCGGCTTCATTTAAATTTAAATGGCTGCCCCGCTCTGCCGATCAGCTGTTTGTCGGCAGATCGGGGCAGTCTGGATGCTCCCCTGTCGACATGAAAGCCCTTTATCGACCTTCCCAGTAAACCTCATCCTAGGAGGCATAACGGGGAGGTCAATAAAGGGCTTTCAGGTCGGCGCGGGAGCGTCCAGATTAGCGCGCTGTGCGGACAAACAGCTGATCAGCTGTTTGTCGGCTCAGCGTGGCAGCCATTTAAATTTAAATGAAGCCGCGATTATTTAAATCGCGTCTTCGTTTCCCTTTGCCGAACAAACAAATCTATATGGCTCCGTCGACGGAGCCGTGTAGTCTAGACGTACCCTGTGGTTCTATGATTCTATGGTAGGCGAGACCACAGCAAGAACACGAGACAAGCGGCCTTGTACGGGTGGTACTTTTTCTGAGAAGCAAAAAGTACATAAAACTGTTAACTGCGCACAGAGCAGCAACATCCTGAGGAGCAGGTTGTACCCCAGATAGGGTCATTGAGCATATGCTGTATCCTACCCAACACGTAATCAATTGGTGAATATTATTAGAATGGTTAAGTCTTGCTTTGCTATAAAATGGGCTTAGTATGAACAATCGATGGGAAGGATCGACCCACATAACCTGCTCAACGTAACGAGAAGTGATTAGGCCCTTCACACCAGCAAGCCAGTGTGCGGTGTTCCAATGCATGGGAAAAGACGGAACCGTGCCTGGCACTGTAGGTAGCATACAGGTGAAGTGGAACTGAACTAGGCTTTATTATTGTATTATAGTGGTTATTGTATGAATTGCTTTGTGCTGTATTAATTGCTTTAGAAGGTATAGTATTTATGGGTTAAATGGTGTAGTCATTGTTCTTACAGTTTAAGTTTTACGAGCGTTATTAACTGCTTAACGCTCGCAATAACTCAGAAAGTGGTTCAGTAGCCCTGGCATGTCCTGGTTTCCCTCAGATCTAAAATAAATCGAACCCCACGACACCAAGGCAACTGCCCCAAACCATTGGATAGATGGGACAGCCCTGGCAGAGTCCCTACAGCACACCACCCTTTTAAACCATGGGGTATCCTCTTCCCCGTCAACCATCTGCTCTAAGAGACCGTCCACAGTTCCGACGCCTTCGCGCTCTCTCCCCACTCAGATCTACTGACTGCACTTCCATTCGCCCGCTCACGTTCCTCTTGATGTGATTGATTAGATATCATAGAATCCTAGAGTCCCAGGGCTAGAAGAGACCTCAGGAGACACCGAGTCCAGCCCCCTGCCCAAAACAGGACCAAACCCAACTCAACCATCCCAGCCAGGGCTTGGTCAAGCCGGGACTTAAACACCTCTAGGGATGGAGATTCCACCCCCTCCCTAGGGAACCCAGCCCAGCGCTTCCACACCCTCCTAGGGAAATTGTTTTTCCTAATATCTCACCCAGACCTCCCCCACTGCAACTTGAGCCCATTGCTCCTCATTCTGCCACCTGCCCCCACTGAGAACAGCCTCTCTCCAGCCTCTTTGTAACCCCCTTCAGGGCGTTGAAGGCTGCTCTCAAATCCCCCCTCACTCTTCTGTAGCTTGAACAAGCCCAAATCCCTCAGCTTCTCCTCGTAGGTCATGTTGTCCACCCCCCTAATCATTTGGTCTCCCTCCACAGGTCCCTCTCCAATGCGCCCGCGTCCTTTCTGTAGTGGGGGGCCCAGAACTGGACACAATCCTCCAGATGTGGCCTCACCAGAGCCGAATAAAGGGGAATAATCAGTTTTCTAGATCTACTGAAAATGCTCCTCCTAATCCAGCGTAATATGCCACTCACCCTCTTGGCTACAAGGGCACCTTCTTGACTCATACCCAGTTTCTCATCCACTGTAACCCCCAGGGCCTTTTCTGCCAAACTTAGCCAGTCAGTCCCCAATAATGCTTGGGATTTTTCCCTCCCAGGTGCAGTATTCTACACTTGTCCTTGTTGAAACTCCTCAGATTTCTTTTGGTCCGGTCCTCCAATTTATAGAAGTGTAATTTATTTGAAAGTCTTTGGAAGTGGGGTTTTCTGGAAGATATCACTGCCAGTAATAGCCTGTAGTTGTTTCCGTAGAGCAAAATGTTTTCAAGAGGATTTAAGGAGTGAAAATAGCTATAGTTCATTTTCGGATCTAAGAATCCAATTGTGATACATCTGGAGATATGTCCAGGAAGTAGTGTCAATTATTACCAATATTTTTTTCTTTATATTCCTGCTTCTTTAGTACTTGAACTTTGAAAGCACAGAACTTGTTGAAAAAAGAAAAGAAGAATCAAAATATCCTTTCAAAAACACACAAAAATATTTTATTTGGAAATATTTAAACAACCTTTTTATTGCTTATTGTTGAACTTTATGATTGTTTCCATTTCCTTCTTTCCTTCTTTCCTTCCCCTCTCTCTTTCTCTCTCTGAACCTGGACATTTTATTCAAAATGTTTTTTAGAACTCCAACATTTTTACCAAAATCTGAAACACATTACTCAAAATACTTTTTGGAATCGATTTAAAAAAAAATACTGGATCATGTTAAGAAGATCTGAGTATTTCCAGAAAAAAAGAAATCTTTTTGAAAAAGGATTTTTTTGAATGTTGTTACAGCAAAAGCCACGCCAACCAATCAGAGGCCCAAAAGGTTCTTGTGTACAATTTACTTAGAAAATAAAACTTTTATTGATGTTTTAATTTATTTCCAGTGAAAATAAAGGGCCTTTTCACCTCTCTGTGTGGCGTTTGCTGAGAGAAAAGCAGGTGCCCAGCAGTGTATGATGCACACAAGATATAAATAATAATTTAATATATGGAGATAGGTATATCTCCTAGAACTGGAAAGGACCTTGAAAGGTTATCAAATCAAGTCCTGTCCCCTGCTTTCATAGCAAGACCAAGTACCATCTCTGAGCAATTTGCCTTAGATCCCTCAATGGCCCTCTGAAGGCTTGAACTCATAACGCTGGGTTTAGCAGACGAATACGCAAACCAACTGAGCTATCCCTCCTCCCCCAAAATTTATTGCTGGGGGTTCCTTTGGAAGCAGTTTGGTTGAGATTTTTTTCAGAAAAATGTAACACACATTCCAACACAGGAAGAAGGGCGAAGACGCTACGTGCTACCAACCTCCATGCCCAAAGGGGAAAAGATGCTCACAACTTACTGATACTTTGCTGGGTGTGACAACGCAGTCGGGGTTCCCCCGATCCTGCACCCCCGTAGCAGCCAGAACCGCCTCCAGCAGCCAGCAGAGTAGGGAGGGGCGTATTGATTTTCCAGAATACAGCACAGCACAGATGTGATGTGGCAATAGGAGGGGGCGAGGATGCCCCAGACCCCGTAAAGTGCGGTGCCTGAGCCCCTAGTCTCCAGGCCCCCTCCCTAGGTTGTCTCCATCACGTTTCCAGCCCCAGACTCACTCTTCCTCCCCCCACGTACTTCCTTTGCTCCAAACTCCTTCCCCCTGTCAGAATCGGCCTAAAAACCAGCAAGATGCCCCACTACATCACACTGGGAAACTGAAAATGGACTTTTGAATCATTTTAAACTTTTCACAAGGAAAAGCCCAGTTTTTATGCCCCCCAAAGCGTGAAACCGAATACTGCTGGAACACAGTGAGTAGACTAAAACAAAGAAAACTTTGGCAACTGGAACACCAAACGCGTGGGTACACGCACATAGAGCCCTTCCCTCAGAAGCATGCACGTTCTAAATCACATCGCCTTGCTCTACACACTAGACTTCACTCCTCTTCCAGGGATGCACCTAGAGCCCAGGAGTCCTGGATCTTAACCCATTAGAAGACAGCGACTCCCCTTCACCCACCTAGCCCCTAGCCAGGGCTTTCCAGAGAGCCCCCTTCACGTCCTTGTTCCGCAGGCTGTAGATGATGGGGTTGAGCATGGGAATGACGATGCCGTAGATCACGGGCAGTGCTCGGTCCTGCTCCTGCGAGTAGGTGGTGTTGGGGCGGAGGTAGGTGAAGAGGATGGTGCCGAAGTAGAGGCTGACCACGGTCAGATGGGAGGTGCAGGTGGAGAAGGCCTTGAGGCGCCCGGCCCTGGTGCGGATCTGGAGGATGGCCCGCCCGATGTACACGTAGGACACCAGGGTGCCCAGCAAAGAGCTAGAGACGAGGCCACCACCAAAGATGAAGGTAACAATCTGGTTGATCCGGGTGTCGGAGCAGGAGAGCTGTAGGAGCGGGGGGATGTCACAGAAGAAGTGGTGGAGGACATTATTCTGGCAAAAGGACAGGATGGTTATCAGGGACGCGTGCACGGCTGAATTGGCCAAGCCGGCTGCAGCCAGCAGGGCGCACAGCTGCCGGCTCATGACCACGCCGTAGTGCAGTGGGTGGCAGATGGCCACGTAGCGGTCGTAGGCCATCACCCCCAGAATCAGGCACTCCACCCCCCCGAAGGAGATGAAGAAGAACATCTGGCAGAGGCAGCCGGCCCAGGAAATGGACTGGTCCCGCGACAGGTAATTGGTCAGCACCTTGGGCACGGTGGAGCTGATGTAGCTGATGTCCACCACAGACAAATTCCCCAGGAAGAAGTACATGGGCGTGTGGAGTCGGGAATCCAGGCTACAAATTCCCCAGGAAGAAGTACATGGGTGTGTGGAGCCGGGAGTCCAGGCCGACCAGCAGTAAGATGAGCAAGTTGCCCACCAGGGCCACCAGGTAGATGGCTGCGAAGACCCCAAAGAGGACCAGCTGCTCGGCCGGGTTGCTGGAGAGGCCGAGGAGGATGAATTTGGTCACCGAGGTGCCGTTGGGCCTCCCGACCGGCTCCAGAAGACCCATCCCCTGCAGGCAGCGGTGGGAGAGCTGGGGAGAGACAGTGACAGCTGGGCGGTAAAGACACCGGATGTCCCCCAGCCAACCCCACTAGCTGCGGAAAAGGAGACACAAGGATGCCTGGGGAAACGAGGGGAAGCAGAAAAGGACGCTGGGGATTGCAGTGGATGAGAAGCTGGAGATGAGTCAACAGGGCGCCCTTGTAGCCAAGAAGGCTAATGGCGTATTGGAATGCATTAGGAGGAATCAAATATCAGAGGGGTCGCCGTGTTAGTCTGAATCTGCAAAAGCGGCGAGGAGTCCTGTGGCACCTTAGAGACTAAGGGTCTGTCTACACTACAAAGTTAATTCGAACTAACAGATGTTAGTTCGAATTAACTTTGATAGGCGGTACACATACAAACCGCTAGTTCCAACTTAATTCGAACTAGCAGAGCGCTTAATTGGAACTAGGTAAACCTCATTGTAGGAGGACTAATGCCTAGTTCAAATTAGCTAGTTTGAATTAAGGGCTGTGTAGCCACTTAATTCGAACTAGTGGGAGGCACCACCAGGGAAACTCGTCTGCCCCCGTCCCAGCTCCGGAGCCCTTAAAGAGGCACGGTCTGGCTCCCGGGC